GTGAGTGAGGCAAGTATGATAGATCGGACATGTAAAGAGACACCAGATTTCAATCTTTGTGTCTCTCTTCTTAACTCCGATCCACGTGGCTCCTCCGCGGACACTTCTGGTCTTGCTCTTATCCTTGTCGACAAAATCAAGGTCTTTCATCTTTTTTTTGTTCCGATCTAGTTTCTTTCATATATATCTTATAAATTTGTTACAAATGAACCTATTAGTTTCTCTATTTCATTTAAAATTACTATTTAATTATTGATTTCGTCTCTTAAGATTCTCTCCATTTTAGTATATTTTATTTTATATGAGCTTCGTTACTATACTTACCACCAATTATGAGACCTTCTATATTCCCTGGCATAAGGGGTGATTTTGATAAATCAAAATTTTGAGGTTGTTTCTGTATAAAAAAATAAAGCTACGGGTTTTGTTTAATAATAATTTTATACTTTTGTTTTAAATTATACGATTCCCTCAATTTCGGTATAGCTTTGTAACTATACCACCAATTATGAGACGTTTTGTTATATATGTATTCACAGGGGTGGTTTTTGATAAATAAGAACTTTTTTTTTTGTTGTTTTTCTTTAACACCCAAAACCTACATGAGTTGTTTTATAAATTTATAGGTTTATGTTTTCATGTCTTACGATTCCTTCCAGTTACTTACGAGGTTGTTCTTATAAATTTATAGGTTTGTGTTTTTATCATTTCAAATAAATAAAAAATGCAAGGTCGTTTTTGTATAAAAGACAAACTTACAAAGTTATATTATAAATATATAATATTGCAGGTGCTGGCGATAAAAACTTTGAACGAAATCAACGGTCTACATAAAATCAGACCGGAATTGAAACATGCATTAGGAGAATGTAGTCGGAAATACAAAACGATCTTACAGGCAGATGTTCCCGAAGCCATTGAAGCTCTCACTAAAGGAGTACCTAAATTCGCCGAAGACGGTGTGATCGATGCCGGTGTCGAAGCTTCTGCATGTGAAGAAGGGTTTAAAGGAAAATCTCCATTGACTAGTCTAACCAAATCAATGCAAAAAATCTCTAGTGTGACTAGAGCCATCGTGAGAATGTTGCTTTGAATACTATTTTATGTTTTGTAGTAGAAGCATGTGTTTTTCAGTGTTGATGAGATTATATCCTTCACAAAAATAAAAGTTTTAACAACTAAAGTATCTCATGCATATAGGAGTTTGTTGTAAAATCTACACATCATACATGTAAAACAAAACATGGTTATAAAATTTTATAATGTTTTGCAATTTTCTTTGTTGGTAATTTGTTGGTTAGAGCAAATCTTTGTAATTTTAAATGTTGAATTTTTGTTAGTATTATTTTGGTTTGATGTTTAGTATCTCGTTGATTTGTTTGATTTCTCCGAGAAATTTGATAGCTTTCGCGTAAAATCTACACATCATACATATAAATAGCTAAAATGTATGGTTATACCTCTTCTTATCGTAGTAACTAGCAAGAGAACAATGTGTATTTGATGGATAAGAAGTGGAAGAAGCTTTATGAACAGTGTAAGAATTAGGGATCATTGTTACATGGTTTTTTTACAGGCTTAACTACAAAACAATACATTTTTTTACAGGCTTAACTACAAAACAATACATCTCAATAAGTAATTAAGCCTGGTTTACATTGACCCATATTAGAAAAGAAAGAACGAATTTTCATGCACATTGTTTGGTGTAATTCATTTGGGATCTACAAGGTATAAGAATTGAGAGTTGTTTATTCAGAATGAGGAGAGTTTGTGCAACCTCATGCAATAGTCAGAGCAATGATTCAAACCTTGGGACGCAAACCAGAAAAGAAAACCCTGAAAAGGAAAAAGCAAATCCTAACAAAAATTTGTTCTTTGACGATTTCTTGGAACACTGCTTGGAGGACCGTGTCTTGGAGGTTTGCCATGTTGAGGACCAAGTTCCTTATGATCCAGATCTTTAGGAAGTTTCCAAATAAAAGTACCGTCAGACAACTTATGGAATACATCGCATTTTATTGCTTCCTCGAGCAACACCACATATGTTGAACCGCGGGGAAACATGATGTATACAAGCACGTTCTCTTGACGAAGCTTCTCCAAAAACCTCTTGTAACCATGGTCGCTGGAAATGAGCAGAACACAGCTACATGGTTCATCCATACTTATCTTTCGTCCGAATTCTAGTTCCTCTCTGTAGAATTCTATATAATCAAAAAGCTGAGTTAGTTCTTCTCAGATTGCTTTATAACCTGCTTGCTTCTCTATTGTGCCAACAAAAGAATTCTCGTAGACACTAATAAGGGATAATTTTTGTCTAGCAAGTCCGACATGAAAAAATTCACTAAGGCGATCCGCCTTGGCCACAAAACCCCAGATACATATATAGTTCAAATCGTCGACGGATATGTAAGCCAAACGTGATAACTTACATATACCTCGTTAACGGATTCTGTTGCCAAGAGTGGCAAAAAAGCTGAGAGTTCTAGAAAGCGATCTCGCTTAGGGTAGGCGTTCATAGACTATGGCCGTCTACGTAATGACAAGATCCATTTGACGAAAACGTAAAATTAGTTCAATCTTTTAAACTAATTTTGAAATACAATTTTGCAAAAATACTATCGTGAGTTATCCATTTTCAAAAATACCTAATGATT